AACCCTTATTTTTACTAATAGCAACAAATCTTAAAGGACCTAATGATAACTAGAACTTATTGAATTTCCCATTTTAGAATCGCATGGGACAATGGCCAACATGCCTCGCGAATGGATTCACGGATACACGAGTCTCTCTGATTTAGAAAGCCCCATTTTTTTAAAATAAAAAATACACCCCCTAGCCAGATAAAGACGGACTATCATATACTGTTGTACCGTCTTTAATTAAATTTTTTTATTTATTTCAATCTCAAAAAATAAAATCGTCGCGGTAGGAAAAATTTGGGGTACGACAACTTGTCCCTTCGCATCCAACGATAGGGCTTCCTACTAACTAATGGTAGGGTAGCACTATCTAATGGAGAAGGAAAAGAACGATAAATACTTTGACTAGGTAGATAGCTCGTAATCGCTTGCTCACAAACGAAACAAACAATTTTTCACACAAACACTTTCAAAAATATTTTCAAACAAACACTTTGTATGTATTCTCGAGAATCATTACAAAGTTGCCTTACTACTGGCATTTTCAAACATACACAAGTACAAAGCATTTTCAAACAAAGTGAGCTAGCGATTAAGATCCCGTAGATAACTACAGATGATAAGTGTGCTAACACCTTCCCTTTTCATTACCTACCCCCCGAACTCAATAATATCAAGGTCTTTCATGTTCTTTTCACCTTTCCTAAATATTGGATAAAATAAAAGTCGACGGCGACTCTTACTATCCGTAAAATTTGCAATAAAACACAAAAATAAGTAAGTTCTCCCACCGTATCACATGGAGCCTACCATCTTTCAACACTTTTTGCACCAAATCCCTGAAAAGAACACATTGAGAAGTTTTATGACCAAGAAAATTATGAAATTTACAGAATCCCCTCTTTTTCTTTTGTTCAAGTGGGGAATTCTTTAGGCCCTGAGAGACCCCAGTTTTACCATTAGCTACTAACAAATCAAATATTTCATCACATGTGGTTATGTCAAAAGTATATGTCTTAGTAATGGCTTTACCATTCTTTTCAGTTTCGACGGGGTTTTCCCGTTCAACGGTTTCAACAGTTTACACACATAGGGAGATCCAGGCTGGAGTTCAGCCACATTAACCTCTATTTCTTCTCCTGACTTGTTTTCGTCAGAGGAACATCCGTCAGTTACCACATTAGAAACTTTCCCTTTTTCAGCTTTCAAGCGTTTGATCAGTCGAACTTTGATAGCTAATTGAGCCATATCATTTAAAGATTGGGTGTCCGACAATTTCTTCCTAATGGAATACTCTAACCCAATTGCAGCCATTTCAACCAACTCATGTTCAAAGACTTGTGTAAAGCATCACACTTTTAGAAGTCTAAACATGTTAAGGTATTGGTTTATTGACTCATTGCTCTTTCGCTTGACATTGGACAATTCTGTTAGGCTTATCTTGGATGGCCCTGTGTGAAATTGCTCATGGAACAACTTCTCTAAATGGGTCCATGTTTGGATCGACTGTGGGGGGAGCATTATAAACCAAGTGAACGCATTCTTTGTGAGGGAATTGGGAAAATATTTCATCCTTAAATCCTCATTCACTACTAAATCGCCAAGTTCTGTTGGATATCTGGCAACATGTTCGACAGTGGACTCTTCGACATCCCCTGCAAACTTAGTGAATCTTGGGAGTTTCAACGCCTTGGTAATTATGTTTATAACACGAAATATGGAAACAGAGAAACATATATGGTTCTATGAAATCCAGTATTCATCCCATTCCTAACCATTATTCGTTCCACAATAGCTTCTAGGTTTTGTTCCACATCCACTATTTCACGTCCAACCTGCCTGACCAATTGGTCGACATTCTGGTTTCGGTTTGTTATTCCTATTGGGGGTTGTTATACTATCCTAAGTATGGGGTTGACACATGGAGGATCCGATGGATCATGTTCTACTTCTTCATCGAAAACTTCCTCACGCTGCACTGGTACCTCACGTGGTCGGGGTGCAGCTTGTCGAACTGGTGCTCTGGGAGCACCAAGAAAGTCTCCAATGCGAGTTATCTGAGATGTTAACATCTGATAACTCTACACCGAATTTTCAATTAACCGTCTTAATATTAGACTCATCTATTGATTCAGTATATTAACCATTTCATGGTTACTTTCTTCCATATGTTGCCTAATGACAGCGATAGTACTTGGAGTAAACATATGCATAATTTGGTTGGCAAAACCCAACCCAGTTGAATGCCTAATTGGATTTCTGACAGTCCTGGAGGGCGATATATTGAAAATGTATAATTTTCGCTAAATGTTGGACTGCTAGTATGAAATCTTGCCATCATTGTTGTGGGAATTCCATACTCATGTATATTTCTGGCAAAACTAGGCAGATATTGCCCAGAAGTTGGAAGCACACTATCATGTGTTTCTCTTGTGAAACTAGGCGCATAAGACCCAACAGTTGTAACCATTATTAGTCTTGCAGTTATTGGTTGTGTTGTGGTAACTATGTTTGGCGTTGTTGAAGATACAACTGCTGGAATGGAACCTACACTCGTTGTTGCACTGGTATTTCCCGCCAGATTCTTATCCCTTTCAAGAGTTCCAGGATCTACCATTCTTCTACCAATTCTCGATTTCATGCACGAAACAAGAAGACTCAAACATAAATATGTCCCACATGGTGTGCCAATTTGTTTCTCCGGGAAACAATCACTAGCCTCTTATTAAAGGTTACTTGCGGGATCGACTACAATAATCCCAGATTTAGTGTTTAAAGTGTTTTTTGGTTGAAAAAGGGATAAAAGAGCAAAATATAAAGACAATTGCGATGTAAATAAATCAAAGACAATGCTTGTAATTTAAAGTGAAAAAACTGTAAATTGCTAAGAATTTAAATGTGAAAGCATTCATACATTGTTAAGCTTGAACTTGTTTCTTTCTTAGATGTGGGTACTTTGAGTGTATTGCTATTAAATGTGAAGAAATGCGACCTCTAAAACAAATACAAAAATTTTCTTAAATAGACATCCTAAATATGTAACTGTCGGCGATTACTAGCCCATGTTTGGGCTTCTTGGGGACTGTTTGAGTTCCCACGTTCTTGCTGGCTTTGTACGTTGATAATTGTTTCTCCCGGCATGCATCCTTTCTTTCGCCGCCATTTACACCTGTCGACAGCTTCTTCTAATCTCCAGGTTTCATCGACTAACCCATTTAGTCGACATCCTTTCCCTGCTCGACGCATCTCGTGTTTTTCCACCATTTTATGCCTCTTCAATCAAATAAACCCCCAAAGCTTTAGGTTTATTCCCTTAGTCGAAAATTGCTTGTCAACACCGTTGTCGACCTCCGATCGGGCACCTCCGTGCTCCACCGTCGCCTGCCGAAAACTCCCAACCGCTGACTTTTGGCCAACCGATGCCCCTGCGGTTCCCATCTCCACCACCCGTCGCGCCGATTCCGAACGCCGTCTTATCGGAGCTCTGGCCTCCGCTGCTCCAACACCTCTGACCCGACTTTTCTGAATTTTTGGTTTTTTGCCTTTTTGATCAATTTTCTGAAACTTCTGATTTTCGCGGTATATGTAATCTCCAAAATATGTTTTCTTTTCTTCAACTAAAGTTTTAAGGTATATTACAACACACCTAATATTATTGATTTCTAAATAACTCTTATAAATGATCATTTTTTAAACTAAAATAATAAAATTGTTGGAAATCCACCAAAATCTATAATGAATTTCTACCAATCTTGATGAACAAGATTGTTATCGCCACACAATAACGATGAAAAATATGAAATAAAGAAAGACAATGATTTTTTGCAGAGTTTCTCTCTGTCCACAAACTGTGAAAAATTTCTTATCCACTTGCAACTGAAAATTCTGTGAATACAAACTTTATTATAGAAAATAAGGATTACTCCCACTATTTATATATTTAGGTTAGCTTGTTCTCTAAATCAAAGCCCAAAATTAGAAAAACTCAAAATATCTATTTTGAAACTAAATCAAATCTATCTATTTTATATTTAAATCAAATATGTATGTAATAATCTGCTTCCACATATTTCGATAGACTAATTCGATATACCTTGTGTTGAGCAAACAATCTGTTTCGACACAAGAAATTATAATTTCAACAAAAATAATCAATAAAATAATTGTACAAATTAATTTATTATTTCCTCCATTCCTTTTTAATTATCACTTTTTAGAAAAATAAATATTTATTTTTAATTGTCATTTTCAAATTTCAAAATAGTAATGATTACTCGTTTGTCAAAATTATCTCTAATTATTTATTATAGAGAAAGAAAAAATAAATTAAAATAATGAATAGTTTAAAATATTATAAATAAAATAAAATAAAAATTATTATCTTTTTTAATATAGTAAAAAATTAAAAAGTAACCATTATAAAAGAACCAATGGAGTAAATTTGATTGTTTTCTAATGAATTGAATTATGATAAAACAATGTGCCATGCCATATCTTTATTATCTTTTTCCCTCTTATTTTTTTTACATAAAAAAGATAATACCAAACTTTCATTAATCCCCAAAAGTAAATTCCAATTTCCTATTAATACTCAATTTTTAGTAAAACTTTTTATTAATATTATACTATTGGTATTATATAATAAATTCATGAATTAAACAAATACATGTGCCAAAATACCTAGTATTTTTTCTAGACATAAATAAAACAAAAATTAAATATAATGTATTTAGAATAAATTTAGACTAAATTCATTTTAATTATTGTTTATAAAAAGTCTAGAGTAATATTACTTATTTTATTGTTTTATATAAGGAATTGGTCTACACTCTATTTAAGATTTTACCATAAAGTATATTAAAGTATAAATAAAAGAATGTGTGTTTCGATTGATTTAACTATAATACTCAACCTGCTGCAAATATGAGACTTCACCACTTTCACTTTTCTTAATGTCCTTCAAACACCAAAAAACCTCTCTTTCTTTTCTTTCACTCTTTTCATCAAACACCATGTCTTCAATCACAACCGCACAAGGTGCCGCCTTCGCCACCGCCATGGCTGTCTCCGGCACCGTCATCCTCCTCGCTCTCCGTCTCCAGAAATCCCTCCCACCAACCCAATTCTCATCCCTTCCTTCTCAACCTCCAATTCTACGATCTTGTATATCCTCCGGTGGAAAGAAAACGAAGAAGAAGAAAAGAGTTCGTTTTGCGGAGGATGTTATGGATAGGTGTGGAGACGGAGAAGAGTATAGAAAGCGACATTTGTTGAAGATGAATTCAAGATCGAAGGTTTCGAGAAACTGTAATGGCGGAAATGGAATGCCTGCGAACAGAGTTGCCTTGTATAATGGAATTCTCAGAGATCGTGTTAATCAACGTTTGGCTTATTGTTGAATTTGGTTTGTTTATTTTTTTCTCTTTTTCTCTCTGTGAATATTCTTTTATTATGCTTTTTTTTTTCGTTTTTTTTTTGTCAAATAGTTTAGTGATCAAAATTCAACTTTTAAAAATGAAGCAAATTCAAACCCGCATTCGCACATCTCTATTTGATGTGTCTGCATAACTATCCATTTAAAATCTTTTGAAATGTGGTTTTTTTTTTCTTTAGTTTTTGTAATTACAGGAAATAGGAAATAGAAGTTAATATTGGAGGGGACACCAGAAACAGAAAAGCTGATATAGTTGCTGGATTTGTCATTTGAATTGTGAAGATGATTTTGTTGATATTTTTTAGAGTAGTTTTTTGTTTGTTGGTCTCTTCATAACTCCAAAGGCAATTATGTAATGTAGACCCTTTTTCTGGTTTGTTATTATTGTAAATTTGTGACATATAAATACAAATATAATATTGTAGATCTTACCAAGTTGTTGTTTTTTATTCTATTTTGTTTTGATTTCTATTGTGAATGTCAATTTTGATGATGTATTGTTAGAGAAAAGTGTTGCTTGATATTTAACTTTATGGTAATGGTAAAGATAAGAAAAAGATAGACTCATGTGAATTGTGTGAATTTGGGGTTATTTCCAAGGAGGGGTAAAATTGTCAATTTGGATTGTGTTATGTGATTTTTCTTGTTTAAGATATTAATGGATTCTAGATTTTGTAATTGTGATTTGTGACGGAAAGATGGTCATGTGCAAAAGGGGAGTTATCTTTAAGGTGTGCATGAACCCAACCAGATAGATAAATGAAGAATTGACATTAACCTAACCTTGCAAACGTTACTCTGCCCAAATCATATTTAGGATCAACCAAAGTTATCTATTACTCACTAATTGGCAAGTCTTTGATTGAGTGACAACATGATTAACATGGTTGTAAAGTGGCACAATTAAGTAGTTGAATCCAATGTAAAAATGTACTAGTATTGCTTTGGCAAAATTAGGTTTTATTTAAAGGTGAATTTCAACGAGATTATTGCTAAAACTCAATGGAAAATTGGATTGGAGAAATCATGATTTGCTCGCCCTAAATAAATTGACGCACTCATGCGGTCACAATTTTCAGTCGTTTGATTCAAATATAACCGTTTATGTTTGATAATAATATTTAGTTATACAATAAATATTAAATATATATTATTTGAAAATATTAAAATGAAATCAGACCGTCAACAACATTCTAGCTGTGTAACTGCAGGGAATGTTAACAACATAGAATCATATTTCATCACATCATTAATGTTCTTATAAATCAACAAAAATGGCATAGACAAAATTTCAAATGTAAAATAAGAGACAAGGATAAAACTTAGGTATAATTAGGGGTGGTAAAATGGATCCGGTCTATTAGATATGTCCATTTTATTCACACTTTAGTGCGGGGTGAGTTCTTTTAAGCCTTCATCCTCTAATGTGTCTGTTCTGTTCCACTCTGTTTTTTATATGGGTTTTTGCAGACACGTGTATTTATAGAATTTTTTTTTGTATTTTTAGGTTTAAAAGATGCAGTGTTCGTGGATTTTTTCCGTCTCGCCCTCACTTTTTTGCAGGACGGAGATAAGTTTTAGGCCCACATCCTCAATAATGTCTGCCCCGTTCCGTCTTATTTTTTTGCGGACTTTTGCAGGGTGGACATGCCCGTTTGTCACTCCTAGATACAATTCTCTATATGTGATTCTTATTATTTTTCAATAATAATAAGACAAATATACTTGAATAATCATCTAAGAAGTAAAAATAAAAATAATTTACATATATATAATAGAGAATTATACCTTTATCATACTTTCATTGAAAAATAACAAAAACCACTTTTAAAAAATTATATATAAGTTTTGTCCTAAAAGACAATTCAGTAGTTTTAGAATTAAGAAAACTACAAAAATATTTTTTATCAAAATAAAAGAACGATAAATATATTTAATTTTCTATTTTAATAAAATAGATAAATTACTTTTCAAAATTGTGAAAATTGAAAAAAAAAATTAGAAATTGAAAAATAAACATAAGATTATGAATTTTGTTATTAGAACATTAAAACACAAACTTTTTTTATGACATACTAGTTTGAGTTCATTTTAATCAACTAATTGGATTTAAGTAGTTAATAAACTCCCTTTAAAATAATTGTTTGGAAAAACTTAAATTCAATTTCTAATGAGAACAATTGTTTGATAGAAGATTACTAGGACCCTTTCTCTTAAGAACCGAAGGGTTTACACACAAAAAACTTATTTCTTTTATCTTCTAGAATTTATATGTTTATTAAAAATATTAAAAAAAAAAGACATCGTTAATATAATATTATTATATAAAATTATTCTCTATGGTTTCATTTATAATAAAAATTGTTTACTTTTAAATTTATTGGATAATAAATATATTTAAATAGTATATAGATTAAATATATTAATTATTTAATTAACTTAAAAAACGTTTTTTGATAAATAAGAGTGGCTCAATTAGTTTAGGTTGTTATAGACTACGATATGTAACATGTGAAGTTGAATGAAGATGTGAGTCTAAGGCCGTTTCAATCAATGTCACATTACTAAAAATTAAATCAAAACATTTCTACTTTCTCTACGAGTTTGAAGAGAATGGAAAGAAATGTTTCGAAAACAAATTTTAAAAATATTATAAAAAAATATTTAATATTATTTAAAAAATATTTATTTATAAAATAATAAAAGAGTATTTATGATCGTTATATTATTAATTTTTAGAATATTATAATAACATAAAAATATTTTAAAAATTTATGTAAGTCAATCAAAATAATTATTTAATATAAATTTTGAGTTGTCTTAAATTAAGAGTTTTTTATATTATAAATAAAAGTAATGGTCATTGTTAATATAAGAGAATGTGATAAAGATATTATAATTAGAAAACTTTAAATATAATTAAATATAATAAAATTATATTTAAAACTTTAAAATATTGAATATATGCGTTTAAAAAAAATATTTTTATAAATAATTTATTAAATTGTGCTTTAAAAATATATATTAGTTTTTTCTTAAAATTAAATCTTTTAAAATCTTTTCAATTAAAATTCTTCAATTCTTTCTACTCCATCCTTCTTTTTTTTCTTTCAAAATACTCCTCTTCCTTTCCATCTAAACTCTCAAACACAATTTCATATTCACTCCGTATTAAAATGAGTGTCGCTTAAAATTTTTACACACTGACTAATGAATATAACAATAATATCATAAAACATTATATTTTTACTAAATTAACTTTATAAATATGTTAAAAATAATGTATAGAGTAATAGTTAAAAAACATATTTAAAAAAAATAGTAATCATTTCTACATTAAAAATAAGAATGATATTCATTTTAAAATAAATTTTATTTACTAAAATAATATTCATTTTGAAACGAGAACATAATATATTTATTTATTCATCTTTTAACTCAACAAAAAAAAAATGAAAAAAATGACAAAATAAATTTTTTTTTATAGAATGATATTTCCTCCGTTTCAAAATAATTATTATTTAATATAATAATAATTACTATTTTTTTAATTATATTTTTTTACTTTCTATATTACTTTTAATATATTAATAAAATTAATTTTATAAAAGAATAATATATTATAATAAAATTATTACATTTTGTATATAAAAACATTAAATGATAATCATTTTAAAATGGAGAAAATAGTATCTCTATGTGTTGGCGTCTTCAAAATCATGCTAGAGTAGTGCACTCAACCCATGGATATTGGAGACAAGCAAAAACAACAAGGTTTTCAAAAACTCCAAAACATAGGCAACTGAAAAATTTGTTGGGTAATCTTTAGATCAGCTTATTTGTCCCATTCGACCAATTTGTTCAAGCTCTTGCCTCTATGTGTGAAAGCAAAGTTGGGAGTAGCAGCGTGTGGGGGCAATTACCCTTATTTTATGTGTCTCATATTGAATTCAAGTTTATGTTATTCAGTGTTGGTGGCGTGAAAGCAGTTACATGTTTTTATATGTATATATATAAAAGTCGGTTACCCAACCAATACTTCTTGAGTGTTTGACTAATCATCTCAACCAATTAGAATGCATAAAGACTTGGAATGGTACCACCATGTCTTGTTCTTCTTTGTCACTCAACATGCTTGCCCAATTATTGGATTACCCATGTGAAGGCTTGAGGTACAATTTGCAATTTAGAACTTTGCCCAATCATATTCATCTCAAGGGAGGAGGAAAAATTATCACCCACTTCATGTTTTTTATACTTTTTGTCATTATTATAAATAAATTTGATTTTTTTTTAATTTATTTAATAATTAATGTATTTAGTCCATATCTAATTCAAATATATCGATTTTTGAATGAATTAAAATAAATAAATAAAATCAAATTTACTTATAATAGTGACAAATGAATGTATTTGAAAATGCATATGTATATTTATAATATGACAAACATCTATATGCGTCACCTATATTATTATCACTCATTTTATCTAGTCCAATCATCTCCGTTAACGTGATTCACTCCCTAAATTAGTTTTTTTTCTTCAATCAACTACTTCACCTCTCATAGCCACCATATATTGTTGTGATGTATTAAGTATCAATTAAAAGGCTTATTTTGTATGAAAGAATAAATGTTCATCATTATATGAATGTGAGGATTATAAATTCAATGTCTTACAATTTTAAGTAAAGATATATGATTCAAATTCACTTGCGTCTTTGCTCTTAATTCAATATGTTGATCCAACTCAATGTTTAAAAGGCTTCTCCCAAAGTCCTAAAACTGGAAGTGGTTTCTTATGTGAGAAAGATATGGAGAGTTTGTACTCCCTCTGTCTTATAATAAGTATTGCATTTGAGTTATGTGTGGATCTTAAGAAAATGATTAGATGTGTTGACTTTAATGATAAAATTAGTATCATTACTTAAATATCCTTATTTATTATAGTTAGTGAAGTAGTTGA